GAGAGAGGAACCCCAAAAAATTGAGGGGTGGAGAGATGGAAAAGAGGTTTCTTTCTCCATAGCAGGGGCATGATCCTTTGAGCATGCATTAGCCACTACTTCTCTGCCACGGTAGCCTGATACTACTGTGCAGTAGCATCGCATGGCAAAAACCGTGATGCAATGCTACTGCGTAGTAGTATTGGGCTACTGAGTAGTAGCATAACAAAAAAGGCATTCACCAGTGCTACTAAGCAGTAACTCTGGTTATTGCACATTTATTTAATACTTGTTTATACAAGTACTAAGTAAATGTGCAGTAACCGCTGTGCAATAGCGTCTCATGTAGATGTGGCCCTTTAGTAGGGGAACAGACTTGATTTCCTTGGAGGCCTGTTATAGTCTTATGTAATGTGAAGAAAATGGGAGAAAATGTTACAAAGGTAATGTTTTAAAATGTTCCTTCTGCAAAAATTCATGGGTTTTCTTTAAAAATTTCATAGGACATTCTCATATCCCCCAAAGAGTTATTGCACCAAATATACTGACTAAAGGCAATAGAGAAGGGTCCTTGACTTCAATAGAAGTTGGATCAGACAACTAGTTCTTATTTATATAGTAAAGTCTATACAGTCAGCTTATGAAAGCATGAAATAGAATAAAAGAATGTAACTCTAGGAAATTATGTGTTAAAAAAATCGTATGTGGCTTGCTGATCTCTTGGCCTTTGTGGCTTCCCTTATTAAGCTTTTCCTGAAAGTTTTGAAACACTGTTTTGCTCTCCAAGAAACAGGTTCTAAAGAACATTGAAAAAGATTTAAGACTGTTTTTCAAGTTTATTCTGGAAAGAGAGAAAAAATTCTCATTTCTGCCATTTTTATTTTCCAGAGAAAAATAAATTTTAAAAACCTGTTTCTGTTTTAGTCAGAACTTTCCTGCTTTCCCATAAACGCTATGAGGAATTGAAGTATAGAGAGGCTGTCTAACAATGAAATACATGTATTTACTAATCACTAAACCAAAATCTGCAGTCATCTGATTCCAATGAAGTTACTCCAGATTTATATCATTTTCACTGAGAGCAGAAAGTGAGCCAGCTTCTTAACTAATAAATAACTAATTTATTAGTTTTTTGTACTACCACAGTTCCTAGGAATTAATCGTGTACACAAGAATTCAAAGGTCAAAAGTGTAGCACAATTCCAGCATAGTGCGAGAGTGCCAGACCTAGAGTTTACAATCACCATAAACAACAAGATACAGATGGACAGAAGACCACCAGGAAACAACAGGACAATGTTGTTCTGCGTGACAGGCAGCTTATCATCAGCCCAACCACCATCACTTGTTTTTTGAATGCTCACCTGCAGAGGAGATGTATTTATCAATAAAGCTTCAAGTTCAACCAACTTTTCATGATACTTAACTTCTAACAGTAGTTTTACAAAAGTGCCCTGGGCTTATTTCTGGCTGCTATCATTTTCAGTAGGATCAGGTTTGGGTCCTATAAGATCTGTAGATACAGGATGGTGTATATTGGACATTGTTGATCCAATAAAATATAATTGCTGTTATAACTGTACAAAGTGGTCTTTAGTGCCACTAGCCTCAGGAGACACTTATAAGAGGTGAGAAAACCAAATGTCTCTGGTTTGCTATATCCTGTTAGTGGAATGGGAGCCTCAGAGGCCTTCTCCAGAGTCTAGATATCAATCAAAAGGTGCCTCAAGTCACTCTGAGATTGCAGTGTGGCAGAAGGAAATAGTGGGAAGAGGCAGATACACTTGTACCTGGCTACTTTTTCCTTCTCACTGTGTGTTTTTTGAAATAGTGTTTAGATCCAGAGGCATAAGTGAAAGGGTTTGCACCCTAGTAAACCTCACTGGAGAGCAGGGGGAGGCAAGGTGCTACTGAGTGTTGGAGAGGAGGGGGTGCTGAGAATAGTGCATGTGTGCGTTGGGGGTGAGTTTTACCTGCTCTGGGGGTTCAAAAAAGAACCCAGCTGCTACTGTCACAGCATGATCTGCTGCAGCACCAGTGTAGGTCCATGCACCCTGCTGCTAGTGCAGCATCAACTGTGTGGGAAAGCTGCTGCTGCTGGGCTGCAGACTCCCGAGAGGGGCATTATTCTAGCAGCCCCACTATATTGGCACCCAAGGCCCAGGTTAGTGCACTGCTCCCCCCAACCCTCCCTCCCTGTGTTACATAATGGTATAGATGATATATGGATAGGAGCTTTAAAAGAAAAAGATGTCCAAACAAAATGTTAGGAAGCAATGAGGAGAATTAGAAGGTGAAGGAAAGTCAGCAAGGGTAAGCTTTGTCTGGTCAGGCAAAATAGACTGACAGGTCAGGCAAGGGTTCTTCCCCCTGCCCTCTTTTTCTCCTAATTTCCTGCAGTGTTGAACTGGGGAGAAGGGAACGAGGTTGGGAATCTTCCATGTTTCCCCACCCCTCTTGCTATGTAGGAGAAAGTACCAGGGAACTATAGTGCTTTCACAGTCTGCTTCCCTTCTTCTTCCCTCATTTCTCAGTTTACCCTCTCAGCCCCTTTCTTTTCACTACATACACTTATTCCTCCTCTTTCCTCTTCTCATTCACATCTCACCCATTCCTGCCTTGCTGGATTACAGGGTCCCTCCCTCTCCAGTGTGGCCACCTCACAAGGCCATTATTCAGCCACACCCAGCAAGCCCTATCCCACTGCAGTGGAGACTGCACAAACCCACCGCTCCTGCTCCAGAGCACGTGCCATGGAAGGCTCTGCTCCTACAACCACCCCGCATTGACTTCCAGAGGATTCAACAGGGCTGGATCCAGGGGCAGGGCTGTGGCCTAGAGAACATACACACATTTCTCTTCACCGGGGTAGACGAGGAAGCCCCTTTCCTACCCCAGACGTGCAGAGCCGAGTCACGGAGAGGTTTAAGGGCCCTGTTGTATGTGCTAGTTGGGCACCAGAGGGTTTTACCTAGAGAGGTGGTGGAATCTCCATCCTTGGAGATTTTTAAGGCTGGGCTTGACAAAGCCCTGGCTAGAATGATCTAGTTGGGCTGGTCCTGCTTTGAGCAGGGGGTTGCTTTGATGACCTCTTGAGGTCCCTTCCAACCCTCATTTTCTATGACTTTATGATCCGCTGCGCTCCTGGAGGTTGCTCACCCCTGCCTGCTCTGCCCACGCCAAGCCCAGGAATAGGGTTGCCAACTCTGAATCTATTCCAGGTTTCTGGAACGCCAACGTGCTTGTGACACGCAATGTCAATGTACCCACATGCTTGCATATATCAATTACAGGTTATGGTGCATAGGCTTTACATCAGGAAGGCAAATGCACATGACCACTACATTTTAAAAACCCACTGGACTAGTGTATAAATCAGATTCAACATTTAATATTTATTTTCATGAATGCCCTATCATTTATCTCCCAGGTGACTCTCAGCAGTCTTCTGGAGATTTATATCTAATTCCTGGAGACTCCAGAGCAATCCTGGAGGGTTGGCAACCCTACCCAGGAATGAGGTGGTGGGTCTGGCATGGGGGAGGCCCTCAGCTGTGTTGCATGGACTTGGGCTGGCGTGTGCTGAGGGCAGTGGTGGCCTTAGGGTTGTTGGGGCCCCTTAAAACAAGTGAGTCATTGGGGCCCCCTTAGAGGTTTAATTTTGATGACCTATAAGCAAGTTGGACATTTTTTGCAAAATTGTGGGGCCCCCTAGAGCAAGAGTCATTGTGGGGCCCTTCGTGGCTTAATTTTGATGACCTACAAGCAAGTTGGACACTTTTGATTTCAATTTCACGTCACCCCATCCATGAAACTCATTCATACATTGAAGAAAGAACAGTTTTTAATAACTTCACCCCCAAAAAATATTGTTGCAAAACTGTGGGGCCCCTAATGCAAGCGAATCATTGGGGTCCACTTAGAGGCTTAATTTTGATGACCTCGTAGCAAGTTGGACACTTTCCATTTCAATTTCACTTTGCGCCATCCATGAAACTCGTTCATACATTGAAGAAAGAACAAAGTATTTAATAACTTCACCCTCAAAAAATTGTTGCATAATTGTGGGGTCCCCTAAAGCAAATGAGCCATTGGGGGCCCCTTTGAGGCTTAATTTTGATGACCTCCAAGCAAGTTGGACACTTCTGATTTCAATTTTACTTTGCCCCATCCATGAAACTTGTTCACATGCTGAAGAAAGAACAAAATGTTTAATAACTCAAAAAAAATATTGTTGCATAGTTGTGGGCCCCCCTAAAGCAAGCGAGTCATTGAGGGCTCCTTAGAGGCTTAATTTTGATGACCTATAAGCAAGTCGGCCATTTGTCACAAAATTGTGGGGCCCCCTAATGCAAGCAAGTCATTGGGGTCCACTTAGAGGCTTAATTTTGATGACCCTTAAGCAAGTTGTACACTTTCCATGTCAGTCACTTCGCCCCATCCATGGAACTTGTTCATACATTGAAGAAAGAACAAAGTTTTTAATAACTTCACTCCCCAAAAAATTGTTGCATAATTGTGGGGCCCCCTAAAGCAAGCAAGTCATTGGGGTCCACTCAGAGGCTTAATTTTGATGACCTCCAAGCAACCTGGACACTTTCCATGTCAATGTCACTTCGCCCCATCCATGAAACTTGTTCAGATGTTGAAGAAAGAACAAAGTTTTTAATAACTTTACCCCAAAAAATATTGTTGCAAAATTGTGGGGCCCCCTAAAGCAAGCGAGTCATTGGGAGCCCCTTTGAGGCTTAGTTTTGATGACCCACAAGCAAGTCGGGCACTTCTGATTTCCATGTCACTTCGCCCCATCCATGACGCCCGCCCGTACGCCGGCCCCCGCGCAGGGGCAGGAGCCGAGGCCGG